AGACCCGCCATTGTCTATGGAAGCCCCGCCCCCCCCCGGGTGCCCAGGACACGAGGGGTTAATGATGGCGAACGGCGTCCTGCGAAGGTCCCCGATCCCTAATAATATGTCCTGGGTGGCACAACCAAAATGATTCAACCTCCTCCTTCAGATCCCAGCAGAGATTTTCTATGGGGTTCAGGTCGGGTGACCGGCCCGCTGGAGGATCTTCCGGAGCTTCTTCTGCAGCCAATCCTCGGTGGGGGGTGTGTCGTCCTGTTGGACGGTCCAATGACAGCGAAGCTTCCTCACAGAAGGGAAGACGTTTCCACCGGGGGCTTCCCGATACTTCAATGGATCCGTCTTGCCGGGGGCCGGTGCGAGAAAGCTTTACAGCGCCCCTCAGTGGCCACACCCCTCAGTGACCACACCCATCAGTGACCACACCCCTCAGTGACCACACCCATTTCCCCCCAATATCCGCACCATTTAAAGACTCCTATTTTGTGAAGCCGCAAAGAACATATTACAAAGTGCGATACAAATAAAACTTTTATATAAAGATATTAAACTTGTCGGCACAATAGAAGTCTTCTTATCACATAAAACAATAGAGTGTCAGAGACTACAACGGAGTCTATAACAATAAAGTTTCCGGTTGTCATGGCGATCCCTCTCTTCCAGTCAGTGCATCTAGAAAAACAGAACACAGAACCCGACTCCGTGTAACATTCATGAATTACTATTTGTCCCAATATACCAGAAATGTATCCGGCGCATAATAATAATTTGTTTGAGAATGTGCGGCCGCCATGTTGGCCACCGGCGTGTTCTGCGAATGCGTGCCGCCATCTTGGAGACGGGGAGCATGCGCCCCATTCATATTTACTATCAGCAGGATCTGAATGGGGAGGAGCCTCTGCACTGAGTGCTTCTCCCCATTGAGGAAATCTTGAATGAACAGGAAGTAATATAAATCACATCCTGTTCATTCATAACTGGGGACACATAGTACCATGTGATCAGACGATGGCTCCGGTGTTTGTCCTTCTCACACGGAGGATCGGTAAATATCACTGATATCCACCCATCCCCCGCTCAGCCACGCACAGAGCCGCTGTCATCCTGAAACTGACAGCGGCTCCGATCTCCTCCCCGCTCGGCCATCCTGACAGCTGCGGGGCGCGGCTTCTCTCCCCCTCACCGCTCCGCCATCCTGACAGCAGGCAGCGCTCCCTGGGGAGGGGGCGCTCTCGTATCAGATGGCCAGCGGTGAGAAGTCGCCACGAGGATGAGCTGTGCTGGCCGCCTGGCGCCTTTGTTGCCACGACACGCCCTGTGCGGCCGCACACCCCTTAGGCCGGCCCGGGGGTCGGTGTGACGTGTCTGGCGCACGGGGATTGTGTGCAGTGATGTGGTAGCCCCGCCCCTGAGGAGCAGACACTAACTGGTCAGATATAGGGGGACTTCCTGAGGATCACACACGGAGCTGATCCATAGCATCAGGTACAGAGACATGGAAGCCCCGCCCCCGAGGAGCACAGAATCCCCGTCCTGATAGGAAGGACAACGCAGGTTTGAGTTCTCCTCCCGCTGTGTGTTGTGGAATGCCTCCTCCTAAAGTAATCTCATAGGGGAAAGGAGGGGGCCTCAACCTGAGGAAGCATGGGCCGGGGTGAGGATGGGGATGAGGACCTGAGAAGGAGGCAGCACAGGCCGGGGTGAGGCCCTGAGAATGATGAAGCATGTGCCAGGGGTGAGGATCTGAAAGGGAGGCAGCAGAGGACTCAGGACAGGGTGAGGAATGAACGTCCGGAAGTGCGTCACAGTCCGGCTCACTCTGTGGTCATGTGATCTAATATCGGACATTTATCTCTGGTGATCGATCCCCCCCTCCCGGGTACTCTCTGTACTTCCGGTGTCCCCATCTCTTCGTCCTGCGGCTCATAGACATGTCGGTCACCCCGGTGTGAGAAGCCTCCGTCCATCCTCTGCAGCTTCCAGCGGACCCTTATCACCCAAAACAGAGCAGGGAAAGTGGGCGGGATTCTCCATTAGCGCACCGCCCACCCCTGGGAACGCTGATTGGCTGGTTGTGAGGTGTATGCCGGGAGGAGGCGGAGCTTAGCGTGTCACCGGAATGGCCGGAGGAGAGCAGAGGGAAGAGGTGAGAGACACTGTCGCTGTGTGAGAGACCCCCGGGGGGGGGTGAATGTCC